CCCCCCAGCGACCCGGTCGTCCAGACCCGTCGCCGCCGCATTCGGCGGCCGGCCCCTACAGTGGCTCTGTCCTCCTGGGACCCCGCCCCCCCCCATCGCCGCCTCTATCTGCGCCACCTCCAGTTCGGTGACCTTGACGGTGATTCCCTCTCTTTTTTTCCTTTCTTTCTCTAGCTCCTTCCTGGTCTCTTCAAGTTCCTTTCTCAGCCTTCCCTCAATCTCGCTCCTTTCCTTTACTTTTGCTTCAACTCCGTCCCATCCAAGCCAATATCCCCTTTTCCAATTTTCAACCTCAATCATCAGGCTGCGGTCCGCGCGGCACCTCGTTCCCCTTCAACACCTTCAGCCTCAATATTTCCTCCCTGCTCTTCTTTAGCTTCGCTCTCAAACGTTCCACCTTAGGAATGTTAGGCTTCAGGACTCGGAAACCCAGCCAATGACAATAAATAATCTCTCTGCCTCAACCACCTTCTACTTGCAAACCATCGCACGGGTGGCAGCAACTAATGGTTAATACGATTCCACGTTAATATGATTCAGTTCTCTCTCCCGTTAATACGATTCAGTTATCTCTACATGAGGAGACCTTATATTCAGTTATTGTAAACAGACAAGTAGAAAAAGAAATACAACTCGATATCATATATGCAATATTATTTACTTATAATTGCGATATAATATCAGTTACGCCATCTCTTGAAAATCTGTTAAAAAATTAATGTTTTAAAAAAATTAATGCACACTGTAACGCTACACTCGCGGCTCGTGCAGCCGGTTTCACTAATCGAGTGCAGCGACAAAATGTGTGGTACTCTTCGCGCCTCGGCGACCGTTCGGCAGATCCAGCGAGACCCGACAGCTCACACGAACAAAAGAAAGCTCTAGATGGGCGCCAGGTACGGCGGTCCGTACCCACTAACAAAGTATCAACACTAATTATTACTCTAAGCGGTGGTCTCGCCGACGAGGACAACTTGCCCTCCACCCGAACGGCTCGCCCGCACGTCCGGCAGCTCAGCCCTGCTCTCGGTAGAGGGGCTGGTTCGCGCGATGTCGGAAGGGTTAGTGGTTGGCGGGTACTGAAATAATCAAGGCGGATGTTCTCTATTCGAATTTATTCGACGGTAGCTAATTACAAGGATGGGATGTTTTGCCCGCGTTCACACGACAACAACTCGCGTAATATTCTGTAATTCGGCAGCGATTCTTAATAACATAATATAAATATCCTTGCTCGCGGTCGCGATGCTGGTCCTCGGCAGCTTCGATTTTCGAGTCGTGACCACGAAGGTCACGACAGCCACGTAGGCTTTCGGCGGTGTGTTCGCTCGATCTCTCGCGCACGACGGATAATCGACAGCTCGCCGGTCGGGTTTTACACGATGCGCGGAGCTCCTCCTTTCGCGAGAGGAACGCGAACCCTGGCCCTCGCCCAGGGTGGACGGCCGAGCCCCAGTTCCCCGACGCCGCACCGCTCCGCGACACGAATCACTAAAAATCTGTAGTGTCTTCTCCTTGGAACGGACTCACCAAACGGTGGAGCGGGGCAGTCGGCAACGAGCAGCGGCGGTCCCCTCTGGGTTCACACAATAGTTCCGCGCGTGCGGTAGCGGCCTTACAGATGCGGAGGTCAGGTCGTCCTTAGTCGTCGGCTCTATGGATGGCACGTCCCTCACACTCGCTAGGCACGGCTCACAGGAAAAAGCTCTCGAGCGATCGTTGGGACCTCGTTTTATCCCAGGTTTGAATTGCTAGCTCCGACAGCTATCGGCCGTTGATTGGCCGATTTGCCGGATTGAATCCCCCGTTATTCGGCCGTTGTTTTGCGTTAGCTGTTGTTTACCAGCTAGATCTTTCTGGCCGGTCGGCCTCTCCGACCTTGGAGCTTCGTCGTATCGGCAGCCGTTGTTTCTTCAGTCCTCGAGCCTCGCGGCGTCTTCGCCTGGCTTGGAGGACGCTCCGGGTCACGGAGGATGTGCTTGTCGAACTCGTCCTGGTAGCAGCTGTCCTCCACTCGTCCGCGGTGTCTGTCGACTCCATCCCAGCGGCTCCCTTGCGGCAGCTCAGGACTGATCCACCTCGACAGCTCTCTCTCTCTCCCCGTTCTCCTCGTTAGCAGGGGTATTCGGCTAAAACAGGCCTCCTTAGAATGGATTCACCTGTCGGTCCTTACTTACTAATACAATAATAAGAAAGCGATTCACCTGAAATTTTTGGTCCGTCCGATGCTCCTGAGCCTGACTTCTTTCTCCCTCGGCGGCAGCGAATCCTCCCTGAAGTCCTCTTCCTCCTGACCCGACCTCTCGACACCCGCACTCTTATCCTATACACAAAATATTCGGGCCACGCAGGCTCGCGTCCTATTCGCCTTACCGTTAGAACGCGACATCCACCTGCAGCCGGGAAGCCCGCTTTCGGCTACCCCACGACTTTCCGAATGACGGACGATAACAAAAATCGTTACGTCACAACACTCCCAATAGAATATCTCCTTAAATCAGATTTAACGATGCTTATCACGATATTTTAAAGTCAGCATGCAATGAAATAAAAACATGAAAAAATGAAATAAAACTAACCAAAGTCATCCAAAATATTCAAAACGCAGGTAAACATCTCATCCATTTCACTCAAACTTCTATCCCATTCGATTTCATCCTTTGATTCATTCAAAGTCGACAATGACATTTGCAAATCTGTAGGATGTGCCAATGGATTTCGCCATGACGATATTTTTCTTAAATTATCGTGTAACTGGTCTACTTGGATATTTTCGTGTTCAAGTTTCTTCTGAAATAGTCTCCAATTTTCAACTTCATTCTTTGTCAATAATTGACTTCCTTCTTCAACCATTTTATCTAATTTAACCAGCGAATTAATTTTTGTATTATCCTTAGTATTATCTAAGATCTTTGTTCGAATTAATGACTTGATCTCTTGGGCCCTTTGTCCGACGTATATAATCTTAAATTTAAGATCCTGTTCCTTCCTCTCTTTGACCAGCTTTTCGTTTTCCTCTTTCAAATTTTTTATATTTTCATTTTTTATTTTTTCCTTTTCTTTGTATAAATTTTCTATATGCTGCAATTTTTCAATCATATTCAGATGCATATTCATTTTCTTCATCTTGTATATCTTTTCAAACAGATGCTTATTAGTTGCATGAATAATGCCGGAAGCGCGGCAGAGTCTAGTCCTCGGTGGGAACTTAGAAGTAGATGTGACTCGCGTGCGGAGTCGCAAAAGCGACAGTAACGAGTTCTGTCGAACGATATACGATATGTGACAGTGCGTGAGATATCGCAAAAAGAAGTAACCACCTGTGGTGGAGGGCTCCAAGCGTTGTTCACGAGCTTGGACAAGCGTTGTTCACGAGCCGACGGCGGTCGCGGCGATAGCGACGACAAGCGAGCACTCGGAATCGACTTCTTCTCACGGAGAACCAACGCGGCAATAGACAAACCGCGAGCGATTAACGACTATCGAAGAGACTGATAATGCCCGGCCGATACACTCAGATACTACTCGGCGATACTTCTCAGGAGCGATCAGGAAAAGCGAGAAAGCGTGCAAGTTCGAAGACGAAATACTGCGGACTGCTCCAATTTCCCGATTGCTTGCTGCGACGAGCCCCCACATCTCGCGGTTTTTTGCTATGCTCTGGCGCTCGCGGATTGGACACAGCCGTTCGAGCATTTTTCGCTGCGAGCCTATTTTTCTTAAAAGGAGTCTGATAACAGACACGCGCGATTCATCGGCCCGTACCGGCTTCCGATTCGCGGAATCGATGTTTGTGTCCAGGTTGCTTTGGCAACCGCAGCGAGACACTTAACGTGTAAGATTTGCGCACGGCACACGTCGCGAGGCAAGATGCTCACGTTAAGATCACGTACTTCGACGTGATCGCTGGACAAGACGAATCGGCGAAACAATCTATTCGATTCCCGAACAAAGTTTCTTCCGAAAATCTCTCCACCTTTTAATCTCATCCTCTGTCAAAAATTTACTTCCTTTTTCAACCATTTTATTTAATTGAACCAGCGAAGTAATTTCTTTATTATCCTTTGTATTATCTAAGATCTTCAGTCGAATAAATAACTTGACACTTTGGGCTAATTCTCCCACGTATAAAATATGAAGGATATGATCCTTTTCCTTAATCGTCTTTTCCATATTGTGTATCTTTTTAAACACAGATTATTCGTCTTTTCCATATTTTGTATAATTTCATCCTTTTCCTTAATCGTCTTTTCCATATTGTGTAATTGGTTCGGTAAATGAATTAGTTGTGTGAATGATTCGATTTAGTTGTTAGTTTTATTTCATTTTTTCATTTTATTCCATTGCATGCTGACTTTAAGGGAATACGGGAGCGAGCGACGAACTTGATAAGCACCGATAACGTAAAGCGATCGTCAAAAAGTAGAAAACGTTGTCTTCATTTATCGACAATATCGAATTTATATACATATATAACGGGCGAGTTTTTTAATTCATCATTTATGAATTAAAAAACTTGCTCACACTTATAGAATAAAGATGATCGTCAAATAGGCGCTAACATGATACCGCTATCATCCATTCATAGATGTTATGCAAGTGTGTGCTACATGTGTCATTTCAATTTTTTTACACATAGATATAGACGTTACATAAGTGTGAACGCCACGTTGCCGATATTCACATTCTTTTCAAAACAGGCTTCTGCTACTTTTCTGATGAATTCTTCAAACCGCTTATGTGCTGGGTGCATCAAAGAAAAAGTTTTTAGAAAAGAGTGTTGTAGGCGCAAACGTAGTTTGCGAATAATATTTTGAAAAATACCTATTATTTGAGACTTCAATATAATTAGCAACGGTAATTTAAAGATATCTTTTTTATTTCGCACTGACCAATGTTACACTTTATTTTCGCACGTAATTTTACCATATAAATTGGAGCAGTTAGTAAACTATAATTATTGAAAAATGAAGTCAGTGTCACGATAGTAGTAGTTCCACATCGTTTTCATCCTTAAAAGAGGAATGCCTTATCTCATTTATACCTGTATCTTTACTATACAAAAGCATTTTTAATTTGGTCAAGTCAACACAAATTAAAATTTGTTGGGAAACGTTGACGTGATACCGAATACATTTGCGAAACTATTGTTTCGTCCTAATTGGAACAAAGTAAAAACCATTTTGCATTGAAAAATTACATGTGAAAATGAAGCAGCATATCCAAAAATATGAGACGAAAACGATAATGCACTATTACTATTACGAAATCGAATCATTCTACAAAGTTTACTTCTCTCTACCTGCATCGAATTAAAAACCCTTTTGCATGGTGAAAGTACGTGCGAAAATGAAGCAGAGCACCTCTCAATATGAGAGGAAAACGATAATGAACACTTACTAACACGACATCGAATTTTCTTGCAAAGTTTACTTTTTTCTACCTGCGTCGAATTAAAACCCTTTTGTATGGTGAAACTACGTGTGAAAATGAAGCGCAGCATCCAATAATATGAGACGAAAACTGTAATGAACAGTTACTATCACCACATCGAATCTTTGTGCAAAGTTTACTTCTTTCTCTCTGCGTCAAATTAAAAACCCTTTTAAATGGTGAAAGTACGTGCGAAAATAAAGCGAAGCATCCATTAATATGACATGTAAACGATAATGCACTCTCTTAAAATAAATCAGTAAAACCTCCCTGAAAACAGTATATACTGATTTGTAGTTATAAGTGTTGCACTGAAAGAGCTCAGTGCTATACTTAAAACTGATATCAGTGACTATTCACTGATTCACTTTAAGAGAGCACAGTTACTATCACGAAATCAAATCTTTCTGCAAAGTTTACTTCTTTCTATCTGCATCAAATTAAAAACTCTTTTGCATGGTGAAAATACGTGCGAAAATGAAGCGGAGCATCCATCAATATGAGACGAAAACGATAATCGTGAACTAATTTTTCGCTCTACTTTATTGTTACGTCTTGCAGGAGAACGCAACGTAATAAAAGCTTCGCCTATATTTATAGGTCGAAGAGCGAGTCAGCGACCAGAAGGGTCGCTTTACTAGCACAACAACGTACGGGGAGCGGTCCAATTTTGAGTCAGAGATCTGAATCTTTTTACTCGGGACTGGACCTCGAGCGATAATGGGAGAGGACGAGTTAAGAAAAAAATTAAATTTTTTTATAAATGAAAAAAATATGATTTATTTATAACTACAACTTAATACTGTGTGCGTGTGGGTGTTAGCGATCCGTGTGTGTGGGTAGTGTGTGGGTGGTCGGGTGTGTGAGTGGGTGTGTGTGGGTAGTCGGAGGATAGAGGTGGCGGTTTTTCTGAGGGAAGAGGAGCTGAGGGACGATATTCGGAGGGATAGGTAACCGGTACCACCGGAGGAAGAAGGTAAGGAAGGACGGGTGGTAATTGATCCGCAGGTACACTAAGATAGCATCCAAAACAACTGCGTACTACCTCCCGGCAGAACTCTCGCTTATTTCGCGTTTGGTTCGCGAATAAAGTGTCGAACTCTCAGAGGACCCTTTCAAAGTCCACGTAATGAAATCGCGGGTGTCGACCCATTAACACGATTGATTAAAGGTGTTGGTTTTCGGTACAAAGTCAAAATATGTCTGTCCGGACTTATGCGAAATTGAGACGCGATAAAACAATGACTTACTGGAGTGTACGAGGGAAAATGGATCTTACTGAGTTTCCTAAGATCGTACTCCCGTCCTATCTTATGGTCGTTGTTTTTCAAGGTGGTCGTGAGCCCAATGAAGTTCGAAATGCCAAGGTAGATGTGGATAGAAGTGCCTACAAATGCGATGTAGACGATAAGTAATAAAAAGAATAGTAATAGACGTAATAGTAGTCGTAGTGTACTCATAGTGATACTCGTAGTGTTACTCGTAGTGATACTCGTAGGGATACTCGTAGGGATACTGACGTAGGGAAAAGTCATACGGATCGGACTTTTATAATTTTGGAAATAGAAGATTTCGGGGGTGGCGGGTATTTTTGGCTATATGTTATCTTTATATATTATTATTTTCTATATATTTTTTCTTTTTCTTTTTGATAAAAAGAAGTATATCGACTGATGATTCCACGTTAATGGCATAGGAGAAAAAACTTATTATCATTATCTTTATTATTATCATTATCTTTTCTAAGAATGCAGGAAGTCAAGATAATATATTTATATATATTTTTATTGATAAGAGATATGTCAAAAGATTAGATAGATATATGTGTAGATATATGGGCACGCGTGAACAATCACATTCCTAGATAGATGGGAAAGGACGGTGGACTTCGGTCGTCAGAGTTGCCTGGCCGAGCATGACTCATCTTTAAAATTTATCAATCAATTTTGATGATGGTTTGAGTGTTGTGGGAGATTTGAAAAAAATTTTTTTACTTTTCTTTTTAAGTCTTGAAAATTGAGTAAAAACTCATTTTTCTAGCCTTTTTATGAATTTTTTAATGATTTTTGTGGGTTTTTTGATCTCCCAATTTGGGTGCGCTTGGAGCAACATTTTATACACTGCTCATTTTGAAGAAAAAAATGGTTTTTGGTGGGGGGACTGTGAGAAGACTGAGGGACTGATTTTGTACAATTTCATCCTTTTCTTTAATCGTCTTTTCTATACTGTGTATCCTTTCAGAAATGCTTATTCGTCTTTTCCATATTGTGTATCTTTTCAAACAGATGCTTATTAGTCTTTTCCATATGGTGTATCCTTTCAAACAGATGCTTAGAGGCCTGCTCCTGCGACGAGGAGTACATACAGCGAGGTGTATAGATCCTAGGAAAAATTGTCATTTGGGATTTAAAGTACATCTTTAGCAAGTGCAGCATCCTCATGGGAACAACTGCCTCCCGCATCCTGTAACTAAAAAAGTATTTTAGAAAACATTAGAATAAATACTGTTCGGAACTGATTTTTTTGCTCTACAGATGTATTTAAATTTCAAGTTTTTCAACTAAGTTAATTCATTCATTATATCTATGTATTGTTTTGCTGTTTTTCTGTAGGTAAGCTGAACACAAAAAAGCATTAGAATCAGAAAAGTAATTATTACTACTCAGTCTTCCCGTCAGTTGCCCTTCCTTCTAGGAGGAGTCTCGCAGGGACATTGTGTTGAACTCCTGGTGGTGATCTTCTATTTGCATGTCCAGCTGCGAATGGTCGTGTGCCTGCTCGAATTGGGGTGGCCCTGAGCGGTGTTGATTCATCCAAAAGGTCAGATATGGTGCTCTCATCTTATATTAATATTGATTCGTTTAATAAGAAGTTTTACTCTTCTTTGCTAAATTCCAAAAATCCTATGGATAAGCCTTTACTTAATTTTTTTATTTTTCATTTCACCTCTCCTTCTTCTAGTAAATTCTCCAATAGTAATTCTCCCGTTCTTTATTTGAACGAAACATATATAAATAATCTTAAGGATTGGCTTTCTGAGATCTCTGACCTTTTTTCCAGTTCTTCTCTTGCTTAAATTAAGAGAAAGTAGAGAGCGAATAATTTAATCATTTTATTCTCTCTTTTTATAATTTTTCAATACGGCTCCTATTATTTAAACTATTAATAACCCTTCTACCGAAGCTTTTAAAATCGTTCAGTGGAACGTTCGCTTTCTCTTTGCTAGCCCAGTCAACACGCTTGTCAGAATAGGAACTCAAAGATAACTTTTTTAAAAACGCATTTTGATATCTCGGAAATGATATATAAATGGTATCTTATAATCATCATTTACTAGAAACATCTATAAAAAGAGCTCCTAAAGTTATCACATTTCAGAGATCTCTTGCAAATATTATCTTTGTGATATCATGCCAAATGATAGCAGTTTGATCTGTCATGAAAGATATAATGTCTTCTTTTTCTGAGCAGTTCAAATGCGTATATGATACTGCAAGATAGATTTGGGTTTGCCGATTTTTACTGTGGAAAGATTAAACGAATTTAATAAGACACTATCTGAAAATCTTGCTGCTCGATTGCATTATGTAAGTATTATTTACTACTAAAACTTTATTACATTACAATTAACCCTGATAGACATTTATTACTGACCAATTGATCATAGTCGGTATTACATTTCTATAAGAAAAATATAAGTAGATGATTGGAAACAACTTCTTGTTCTTGAAGATATGTAATCCTGACTATTTTGAGACGACTTTTCCTCTTACAACATTATATCTACAACCGTTTTTTTTATAATGAAAAAAACCACTTTGCTTTTTACAGGCGATAGACATTGACAATGCAACTCATGGTCAGATTCTACAGCTGACAGACATAAACACCCATGTCTGAGTTGCGCCGCCACTGCCTATCTCCTGTATCTGTACTATAATATGCAAACTAAATACACTTACTGTTTATCATATAAAAACTAGACAACGTTTGGACAACGTTTTGTACAAGAAAGAGTCATTTCAGAATATAGTCTGGATTATGTCTTTCCAAGGACATGAGGTTGTTTTCAATCATCCTGTATAACTTGTGTTTTAAGTCGAAACATACAATATGATTCAAATATCTAAAAAAAATCTACATAGACGCACGGTTGTCATTACGTACCGCAATTGAATCGTGGAACTATAATCTATTACATTTATGGAGATGATTCTGCCCGTTGGAATTAATTATTAAATAGACAACATCCTGGAATGAAATGTTTTTTTCATTTTCATGAAAAAAAAATTGATTAATTGCTACTTTAAATATTAATTACATTCTGATAGTTTCTTTTGTATATTTATTGTTTCATTATATGTTACATCTATGAATGACACGTAACTAACTCATAAGGGATGTAACGTTTACATCCATGGATGCATTGTATGATTTAATATCAGTAAAGTTGTTATCAAATGTAGGTTCGTTTGTCTATCTGGGTATACCAAAAATGTGTATTACATAACCTCTATATAAAACACCTTATATATCTTGAAATGACAATAGTATTATGTGGCAGAGCTCGGCAGGAGATACATTTTTCGCGCTAGGCGACAAGGCAAGGGGAACAACACTGGGTGGACGTTCCCTAAAATTGACTGAAAGGTGTATCGTTTGCCGAACTTTGTTATATGGACAAAAACAAATAATTTTTTTACGATTTTACCATCTAATTTATTTCCTTTTTTTGTTGCTTCGAATTTTCTTTTTTCTTAGATGGACTTCTTCATATCTAAAAACATAAATTTCATAGTTTTGACACTTTGTTACTGTATGTATAAAACATTTTGAATGTAGTATAAACGTTAATAATAATGTTAATAATAATGTAGGATAAAATTACTAATAGTAAAAGTTCCATGTGAAAATAACATTTTATTGCTGTCAGTACTATTTTTGTAATACTTTAGAAACCAATTATATTTATATGTTATCATATAATTAATTTGTACAATTTGTCCAAAGATATAATTACTGATTCCTATCTTTTGGTAATTTTTATTCATTAATATGTGCGTTTTTTTTATAGTATCATTATAGTTCAATATTATTTATGTTACTCCAGACACAACAAATGTCCAAAATCGAATAATAAGACGTTTTTAAGACATCTGTGACAATATCTTATAAACTTGCCTTAAAAATATCTTAAAAACATCTTATGACCCGATTTTGGACATTGTGCTGTCTTCGACTTTACACTTTACTACTTTAATACAAATTACAATATGAACATATTTTATATATTCACAGCAAAAAATGATTCGAACAATAGGAGGTATAACTCCACATAAACATGTACGAAACGCTATGAATTTAACGATAACTGATATGTTAGCTTATCGCATGACATGGATTGGTTATAAACATAAGATTGAAACTCGGAGCATTCAATTTATTAAACTCATTATTGGTATTTGGTCATTTCCTATTTGTTTCTTTGTGGAAATATGTCAAAATTAAACGACTTTTGTATTACTTGTAATTTTTACGATAACATAATACTTTATTGTTATCATTAGCAATTTTCTAAAGTTATTTCACTTTATATTCTATTATAACTTTCGTCTTATAACACTAAAAAGCTTCTATATTTTCATAATACAAGAAAGCTTAATTTTACATATTTTCATGTTTCATATCCAAAACAATGCAACATTATATTTTGGCACTTTCATCCTTTTCACTTTCTGCTTTTTAAATGTCTGGGAAATCTAAATATGCAAACGTTTTTAAAAGAATTCAATATAGTATTCAAACAATATGTATAATGAGTAATTTATATAAATGATGAAAACATACTTTTTCACTTTAGAAAAAGTATCTTTCATTATCTGCAAAACATATTGTTCATTGTTAAAATATTAATAATAATCGTTTTCATTATCTGGATTTTCCGAGCATTTCAATGGTTACACAATATTAAAACTGTTTCTTTTAGGCGCTTACACGCTGTAAGAGTCACTTCATAATTACTACTCATTATATGCGAATGAACGATGGAATGCCATTTATAACGCGTAAGCGTCCTAGAGGAACGCAACCTTAATATATATAAATTCTGCAAATATTTTCTGTTGCTAATCACGTTAATTGACCAATCACGATTGATTATTCTTCTATAATTCGACTATAATTAGTAAATTGTTTAAAGCTTAAGACCCATATCTGAATCCTTTTTTATCTATAAAAGTGCTTCTAAAAAAGGCTTAGGAGTCACCTGATTGGCTGAGAAGCTATATTCAAGGTACTTTGTTCCGTACGGGAGTACGGAGACGAGTACGACGGGCGGCTGTGCGCCAGGTGCCTCGATGCTCGCAGGCGCCGGCCTCTAGTCGCTGGTTCGCGTCGCGGCGACGGCGCGAACCATCGTAACGTCATTGCTTTTAGAGTGTCTAACTTGGTACGTTGACTTGCCTTTTACGACGTATTTTGTAACTTTACAGATTTCCACCTTCTCGATACTACCTGTGATTGAGAGGAGGAGGGTTCGCGAGATCTTTCCGGATTACTTTGCAGCCCTCCATCACAGGTGGTTACTTTTTTTTGCGATATCTCACGCACTGCCACATATCGTGCATCGTTCGACAGAACTCGTTACTGTCGCGCTTGCGACTCCGCACGCGAGTACATACTCACTTCTAAGTACCCACCGAGGACTTAATCTCTGCCGCGCTTGCGCCATTATTCACGCGACTAATAAGTATCTGTTTAAAAGGATATACAATATGAAAGACGAATAAGTATCTGATTGAAAGGGTACAGTGTATGGAAAAGACAATCAAGGAAAAGGATAAAATTATAAAAAATATGGAAAAGATCTAACGAAAAGGTTAAGAAAGAGATTAAGGAAAAGGATCATATCCTTCATATTTTATACTTGGCAGAATTAACCAAAGTATCAAGTTATTTATTTGACTAAAGATCTTAGATAATACAAGGGATAATAATGAAATTACTTCGCTGGTTCAATTAGATGAACTGGTTGAAAAAAGAACAAAATTTTTGTCAGAGGATGAGATTAAAAGATGGGAGATAGGTATATACAGTGAGTATCGGTATTGTCTACATGAAATCGCTATACCACATTTTTATGAAAAAAAGATTTTCGGGAGAAACTTGAATGCAGAAAAATCCAAGTGGACCAGTTAAACGATGCTTTAAAGATGGTATCGCAATGGCGAAATTCATTAGCACATTTTAAACATTTGCCAGTGATTTTATTGATTTTGAATAAATCAAGGGATAAAATCGATTGGGATAGAACTTTATGAAATGCAGAAAATGTTTACCTACATTCTGAATTATTCGGTTTAGTCGTTAGTTTTATTTCATTTTTTCATTTTATTTTATTACATGCTGACTTTAAAATATCGTGAAGAGCATCGCTATCACACACAAAATAAGATATTAATATAATTTGATACCAAATTTGTATTTATTATGTTACATAAGAATATATTTATATAACATTTATATAATAAGAGATATAAAATAAGAGACTTATAATATATGAATTAAAAAAAAAAAAACATATTGGGTGTACAACTTAATTTGGTCCGTTTTTTTGCTTGTAAAACGCATTTATTTGAATGATAAAATGAATTAATATATTATTGAAAGTA